GGGGGGGGGGGGGGGGGGCAGGAAATAGCAGTGGATAGAGCGGAGCTTAGTTTTGCTCTGCTGATGACAGATCATAAAAACAAGAGAGGGAGGGAAGAGGAGAAGGAACACAGAGAGGGGGGGATTAGTGCCACTCCAGGAGCGACAGAACAGGAGAGAGGGAGGAGGCGGCGAGGCAGGAGGGGGCGAGGGGATTCCTGGAGTTTAGTCGGGATTAGTCTCGCTCAGGGAACCTGCATGGACAGTGGGGGGGGGGGGGGGGGGGGGGGGGGTGGGGGGTGGGGGGGGGGGGGGGGGGGGGGGGGGGGGGGGTCTTCACATACGCATTGTTGATAATAACCATGGAGGCGCAGGTCCCTCATGTCCGTGCAGCTCTCTCCCATTGCTCCTGGGCTGTACAAAGGAGTGAGGAGAACTGACCGAGCCCAGAGTGTGTTCCATAGCACTGCTGTCCCGTCCAGGGTGACCCTCCTGCTGCCAGTGACAGGCGCCCAGTGACTCTACTCAGCTGGCTGTAGAGCATGGATGGTCAACACCAACATGTTCATGCTGTGCTAGATATGTATATATAATTTAGTGCTAAACTACTGTGTTTTCTCACAGGAATGAACAATGAGCGGCCGGCTAAACGCGGAGCAGTACAGCCAACCAGGGGAGAACTTTGAGAACTTCATCATTCATTCATCACTAAAAATATCTTTTAAATAATTCAGATTTATGGAATGATGCTAAGACTCATCGCAGACTAAAAAAAGCCACCGGGGGAGCTAATGAGGACTTGGAGAAGATTAGCTTTGCGTCGGCTGCTTACAGACAGCAACGTTCACATCCGGCCGCCGATCCCCCCCCCCTGAAATCTGCTCATTCGACTGGAAGGTCAACATCTCTTCCAGAGTATTAAATCAACTCGGAGAGGGCAACCGACCTCGCAAACAGAGCAGGACACGCACTGCCTATTAAGCTAAGGGCTCACCATGTGGCCCCATCCTGAACAAAGCCCCCCCCCCATCTAAATCACAATTCTCTGTGTTAGTGGGGGCTTTATTGGGATTTTAACGTGTGCTTCGGCTGCTGAGGGAGACCTTGAAACACTGTTTTTGTAGCTACACCTTTGCCCTGAGTAAACTGGGGTGTGTGGGGTGGGGGCAGAAGAGGAGACAAGGCAGAAAGCTAGTGGGGGGAAGAGTAGAGCAGAATGAACAGTGTGGAATGCAGATGGGAGTCAGGGAAAACTGTATTCTGGGGGGTTGGGGGGGCGCTGTGGCATAGGATGGGGGGGCTCCTCCCAAAACACCTATCTGTGAAGGAATTGGCAGGGGTGCCAAGGTGGGTACCTACCTGACTCACAGCATACTGTGACCTGGAGCTTCAGGCAGCGCTGGGGGGGTCCATCCTCCGTGGGAAGAGCTGGGTGATGTGGGTGAGAGAGCGAGAATCCCATCAGTGCGGGGGAAAAGCCACGGCGAACTCCGAGTCCAAAAGCGGAACGGAGAGCGTTCGGAAATTAATGGGCCGCTAATTCACATTCGCATTTATTCACGTGGCTGACATGCAGCCAGTGGGAACGTACTATCAGGGCAAAAATACAGTAATGAATAGCCAGGCTGATGCCACGGAACGCTTCATCATCCGAGAGGGGGTGACGGTCCAATTAGGCCAGCAGACATCTGAGTCTGCAAAAAATGCACTTTTGCATTTCATTACCACTGAAGCTGAGGACTCAGATCCATCTGTTTGGTGGACATGAACCTGGAAGGCCAGCCTATGGGCACCTCCTCAACATGCAGGAGTACAGCATGGCCTAAAGTCACCCCAGGGCACTCCTCTACACATGTGGTAAGGCCATAAAATCACTCTGTCTACTGTGGGATTTGAACCCACGACCTCTGGATCACAGGCACAGAGTCCTAACCCACTGCCCCCTGAGCCACTGGTGTCCCACACCACCCAGAGCCCAGTCACACCTACTAACACAGACGGACACAGGCACAAAGCATCCACTTACCAGGAGAATACGGTGGCAGGGGAATGGTGAGGTCGACAGGATAGAGGGAGAAAAGAAGAAAGGGGACGAGGGAGCAGAGGAGGAGGAAGGAGTGATGAGCAGCCAGCAGGTCAGTGCTGCTTAGCTTATCGCGTGCAGATTTATTAGCATCCTGGAGATTTTCACTGATAGAAAATGAGTCTTTGGGTCATTTAGTCTACATTTCTTTAAATTAAAAAAAATCCTGTCTGGGGTATGTATATGCACACACACACACACACACACACACACACACACACACACACACACACAGAGCATCTTCTAATCTAACCATAAATTTGTCAGCAGTAAACACCAACTCCATAAATATCACAGCCCTTAATTAACACTTAATTAACACAGTAAAAGGACACGTCTGCACTCTCCCCAAGGTCAAAGGTCACCCAGCGAGCCACCATCTCCTCTGCACTCCACTTAGCCAGGGGACCGGGACCAGGACCTACCCCTCCCCCCCCGATATCCGCAGCAACCCTGCCTTCACCGGAACAGGCCACCACAATGCCGCTCACTTTAGAGCGTCTGGCAGCCGTTCTGTCCTAACAATCCACCACTGTCCCTTAAACCACAGCAGTAATTTATGTAAAACCCCCCCCCCCCCTGCCTCTTTCCTTGTGGGAGTCCTTCCCTTGTCAGCCCCTTTCTTCCTACAGTTCCCATTCTGCCACTCCTCTACCTGCTCCATCTCGCCCCCCTTCCTCCGCCAGCCCCTCTACCCCGTTTCCGTCCCCCTGCCCCCAGCGCCTTCTCTGCGAACAGGCTTAACTCCGAAGCGACCGCCTCTGCTCCCACACTCTCCCCAAATGGTTTGCCGGGACTTGAACTGAAGCCAAAGCCAACAAAACGATAATCAGCTTTCATCACGGTTTTTTTTTTTATTAACTTTTTTACTTTTTGAGTAAACGGGGCATAAAAATATGAAGCATAAAATAAAAATGTGGGGTGTGTTTTTTAAAAAAAAATCAGTTACTAAAGTTTTTTTCATTTAAAATTAGATAAAACTAAGTATGAAAAGGGGAAAAAAATGTACAAATTTTGAATAGCTACAAAAATTAATAAATAGACCAATGATAAGCTTGTATTTTCACACATCTCTGCAGACACAGAGAGCTGCTTTAAATGTAAATCCCAATATTGCTGCAAAAAATCTGGGCGTGACTCTGAAGAGGGTTATTTTAAGAGCGGCCCGGACACACAGAGACACGCAGAGACACGCAGGGAGAGAGAGACTCACACATGTAATAGTAACGGTGGCCCGGCAGGAACTCAAACCCCAGGGAGAAGGGCGTGAACCTCTGGATCTTCTCCGAGAAGCGCACGGGTCCGTAGGGAGCGTGTGGTCGGTTGCACTCCCAGCGTTTCACCGAGGCCTGCGTCTCCACGCAGCCCCGGAACTGCACCTCCCGCACCAAGAAGAGGGCCAGGGTCTCTGGGGGGGGCGTCGCAGGCACCCCGGGGGGGTAGTGCGGGCAGTAAATGTCCAAGTAATCGCCGATGTCCACCTGCACGCTCAAGTCTCCTCTGACTAGTCTGGAACAGAGGGGACGGAGGGGGGTAATTCGTTAATCACTCACTAATCAGGACTGAATACTATAATTCATGCAAAACTATCCTATATATTTATTTAAAAGTACCCAGTGGGGGGGGGGGGCTGTATAATGAAATTCTATAAACAAAGTCCCAACTCCCCTCTACAGAGGAATGAAAACTCGCAGAATACAGAATATACATCCATCCATTTATCCATCCATATATTCCTCCTTCCTTTCGTACATACATCCTCCCATCCACCCATCATCCAAGCATTCTGCCTGGTCAGAGTCTATACCTCCAGGACACTCTTGCGGGTGGCGCTATGCTAACCCTCCGGCAGACTGGATGGACAGTGATACACTGATTATTTCTGTCATGTTTTTCCTCATTAGCAGACGGCTATACGAATCGCTACGACGGGATGATGAGTAATGAAACCGCGTGGGAACGAATGGCTCCATGTCAGCGGCGAACAACCAAGAAAGGAAACGTACGCATTAACGAAATAAACAAACATAACTCATTTGCGCAGACGGCGTAGGTCACTCCGCTGGGGAACCCGCCGTGCATTCCCAATATTCCAGCTTCGCAGAGGAGCACCAAAATTAATCAGAAGATGATTCTTAAAAATATTGAGAAATATAGCCTTTGTTGAAAATAAAATGATTCATCTTTGTAGTCTTATATCTAACCTTTATGTCCATTATTACAATTCCTTGTTATTTGTATTTTGAAATAGCAACCCCACTATTCTAAAAACAGGTACCCAGATAAAGCTTTTGCTCTTTTTTTCTAATAAGTACAGCTGGCCATTTACCGACGACCCATTCCGAATTCTGGAGGTTAAGTCCCGGGTCTCACGACAGGGTTGCTGCTGTTGAGGGAGCCGGTCCTACCACAAAACAGCAACATAGATACTGTAACCCGCCGCAAATCCAAGTGAACGCGGCAAATCGGCTAAAAGGAGATAATCATTGAGATTAAGGAGAGACAATTAAGGAGAGGGGGGGGGGGGCGTTTCCTCCTGAAAACTATTTTAGCAGATCATATCCGTGCCCCTGTGGAATCATTTCAGAGAAATAAGACCCAATATTCCATGCGGCACTGAGGAAATCTGCCTCTGGAAGTCAGATTCCTACGGAACTGGAGAGCAGAGGAGAACCGGGCCCAGCTGAGCTGCTGCCTGAGGGGTGACCCATGAGAATGACGAAGACTGGGGTCAGAGGGGGGCTTTTCGGGTTCGGCACCAGAGCAGGGCCACAAGTGGCGGGGGGCAGTATATGGTTAATATCCGCGATCAGAGAAACCTTAAATTCCCCCTGAGCCAAATATGCACGACTAGACAACATCATCAAGATAAGGCCTCTGCAAATTCACAATAGGGGCTGTTTTTTCCACGGCCGTCTAGTGAGCCTGTGATGCTTTGGCGAGAATACGGACCTCAGCCTGGCTGAGATGGACAGAGATGGGGGGGGGGTGAGGTGAAAACCACCGGCGCTGAGAGAGAAAGAGGAAACGAAACGAAAGGAGCTCCGTTTTAATTAGGGGCCCAAGAGAGCGTCCTAGGGAAGACAGGGAGGAGACAAGATGTATTTTAATTGGTCCTGCTCCACGCAGGGGGGGGCGGGGGGGGGGTTAGGATGTGTGGCTGAGGCCAAAAGTCCACATCTGCCACTGGGGGTCGTCACAGGAGTGCAACGGAGCGAGGGAAGGAGAGCTAGCAGAGAGGAGAGGGAGGGAAAGGGGGGAAGTGAAGAGAATGAACACAGGCAAGGGGAAACGGGGGGGGATTGGTCAGTGTGAAAGAGAGGGAAAATGTACAGAATAAAAGGAGGGAGAGAGGGAGGAGGGACAGGCAGGGAGAAGTGGAGGAGGAGCAGAGAAGGTGAAAAGAGGAATAAAAGAAAGTAAAGGAAGAAAGATCCCAAGATTTAGAGAATGAGATTAGCAGAGACAAAAATACCAGAGGAAGACAGGAGAGCAGGTGGAGGAGAGGGCAGGACGCGAGTGGGGGATCAATGCCTGGGACGGGGGGGCCTCGCCGGTTCCTCTCCACTCCACATCCTGGGCAAGACCAGCTAACCAGCGCGCTGATCGATACCAGTGACATCGCCCAGGCCATGAATCAGCCTGACGGGTCCCATTGATCCGCGCGAGTGGCTCAAACGTGACTTCGACAGGCCGCGATGCTGGTCGATGCTGCGTCTGAGCGCTCGACCCCGGCCCACAACTGCACATCTCAATTAACTGACCCCCCCCCAACAGAGTCACATACGGCTGACGTTCACACCCAGCGCTACATAAATGAAGGTAAATATCCAGAGACTCATTTCCGGAGAAAATGCTGATTCGATCTCGGGACAGAAAACAGGCCATCGACAGGAAGAGGGGAAAACGCCCCCAAATTGGCAGGAAACCTGTGAATTATGAAAGAGAGAGAAACTGCGGCGGAATCATGGGAAATCAACAACCGAAGGGGACATCGCCCCCACCTGTCTGCCTATAAGCAGTCCCTCCTGTGCAGGTACCCAGAACCACCTGCCCCCCCCCCCACCTTTTCCCACTCAGGTAATTACACGCAGGGCACGTGCATCAAAGGCTGACAGCCGCCTCCCCCCATGTGTTTCTTCCCTCTGATGAAGACACCCAAAGGCCCCCAGTTTGGCCTGCGGTGGGGCCCCATGCACCACACCCCCAGCGGAACTGGAGCGGGGACGTGCACGCCTCACCTGGGGGGGGGGCAACCGTCAGCGAGGCAGGACTCGTTTGGGCCAAAAGCCCGACTGGGATAGCAAGCCCCTGCTTCATGGTGCAAAACGAGACAGCAAGAAACTTGAAACACTATAAATAACCCCAGAGCGGCTGTGCCGACGTGCAGTGGGGGCAAACGAGACTGCAGCGCCGCATTTACCACGCAGGCTGATGCCAGGGAGCAGAAGGAATGCAGCAGTGTGTCCAGGTTGGACAGGTGGAGGAGTAACGTGTCGAAAGCACCTGGGGGGGGCCCTCAGTCTGAGGCCCAATCCGCCGGGCCGACACCGGGCCAGGCTGCAGGGTCCCGTATCCTGCCGGGGACGGACCAGGAGATGGGGGACGAGGAGACCGGCCGGCACCACCGACAGGGCACTGAAAAGACAGCAAAAGAAAGAACATTCTCCCCCAAAGGGCTCCATCGCTTCAGTGCCCTTCGGCTCCTGTAGCCATCTCTCCATCACAGAGTGAAGGAGGGGAACAGACAGGCGCTCCTGAGCCAGCGAAGCGAGGGAGGGAGGGAGAGAGGGAGAGAGGGAGTGAGACGGAGGGAGAGGCACGTCACCTGCCTGCCTCCTCACCCCAAGCATGACCCCTCCGGGTGCCACGTGTCTGTGCAGCACAAACGGACGCCCCCCGCCCCCAGTCCTGACATCCCGCACACACCCCCCGCCCCAGGTGGCAGCACTGTACATTGGCAGACGGACAGGCCCCCCCCCCCCACACGCGGGTGAGGAGATCCAAGCGGGGCAGTGGGCAGCGGTGTAGTCAGCTGCAAGGCTGGCCATCTGTCCCCCCCCCCAAAAAAAGGAGGAGGGAATGTTTATTGGGGGGGGCTCTGTCTTCAAATGCATTCTGGGAGGTATAGGGAAAACAAAGGGAACCTCCCGGCTGCCCCCCCCAGCACTCGTTTACAGCATCAGCCGCCCACAGCCCCCGCCACTCCCCCACGTCCTGCCCGTCGCCTCATTTGCTCGTCATTCCGCGGGTCACGATTGATCCGCTCGGAGCTGCCACAGGGACTTTCTGACAGATCTGCACTTGGGGAGTCTGCCTAGCACCGACAGAAGATTCCAGCACGTTCTCTAGTGCCCATCTGCCTGTGTGTCTGTCTGCGTGTCTGTGCCTGTCCGCGTCTGCGTGTCTGTGCCTGTCCGCGTCTGCGTGCCTGTCTGCGTGTCTGTGCCTGTCCGCGTCTGCGTGCCTGTCTGTGCCTGTCCGGGTCTGTGTGCCTGCCTGCATGTCTTGCCTGTCCGGGTCTGCGTGCCTGCCTGCGTGTGTGTGCCTGTCCGCGTCTGCGTGCCTGTCTGCGTGTCTGTGCCTGTCCGCGTCTGCATGCCTGTCTGCGTGTCTGTGCCTGTCCGCGTCTGCGTGCGTGTCTGTGCCTGTCCGGGC